CTCGAAAGCATGGTTAGAGTGCGTTAGTACTTTGCGACGAAAATTGTAGGAGCGTGCAAAAGGAAAGCGTATGTATCCACCTCAATTGAAAAAAAGCACCAAGAGACGTTATGGAAGTCGATTCAGAGTGCCTCTAGCGAGTTGGTTTATAGGAGCATTGGCTAATAAAACTCGAGTGAATCGATTCCGCCTTGACGCTCATTCTCCTATTCTTTAGAATCATGAAGGATTAACGCGGCAGTAGGATGAACGCGACGTTAGTTATGCGTCGTAAGCGGCACCGCTTGCCACTACACTTCCGCCATGTATAACATAATATGCGTAACCGTTGACTTGCTCTGTAGTTGCTGGGACAGAAGCTTAGTCAGATGTCTCTGGATACCGAGAGGGAAAGGGACTTGAGGCGCACCTCGATATGGCTGTTCTAAAGGCATCATTAAGTTTGTCGTTGGCGTTGGAGGTGTAACACGAAAAAAGATGACGGCAGCAGTGAGCATGTCTGCCAACATCTTCTGGAAGATGTAGTGCACTACTGAAAAAGATTTTGGAGTGCAGCTGCAACCACTTGTGAATTGCCCACGATTACATGCTTTCTACATCCTTCAGTAAGCCGTCAAGGTTCATGAGTATTCGCAGAACTACCTATAGTCGACCTTCGAGCTATCAACTCATTGATGATCGACGACTCACCAATTAGACTGTTTTTTTACAATCAAAAACTGTTTGGCTCGTTTTCCCTAGCATTCCATCACGGCGAACTAGAAGACACTCGGCAGATTGGCATCTGCCCTGGGGGCGAAACACAAAGAGTGACGCAGAAAACTCGCAAGATCCCTTATGAAACTGCATTGGTAAACTGGATGAGGGTGAGGAAGCGAGCGACAAGAACTTGACAGCGCTAGATGATCAAGATTAAAGGGAAGCCTGGTCCATCCCCTGCTCTTCATTCGAGGTGCTGCGTTCTTGGACGCGCCAGCGTCGGTGGTTTGTGGAGATCAGATACACTGAATTATACATCATGAGGAGACCACTGCTTCGTAAGCAATCTCAACGGCAAGTTCTTTCAACTTCAATGCTTGTACTTCTATGCGATCTTTGCGTCAGGAAACTGTTACTTGTTGCGAACAACTATCTTGCTAGGGCAACCAGTCTTTTCCACGACTCTCGTTGAGTTCTTCTCGCAGGGCATTATAGTCTTCGGCCGCGTTCATACTTCGCGGATCTCAAATCGACATTTCGACGCTGATTTCATTTGTCGCTAAAGCAGCTTCGGCGCTGGAAAACGAATCTCAGTTCCTCAGAGACCCTCGATCATCTCAAATGCAAGTTCATTCCGATTTGGCAAGAATTGTGGCGCCGTTATCAAATCACATTCTTACTCGTGAAATCTTCAATGTGAATATATCATCGACGAATATTGACATAGCTTAGCTTCCCAGTTTCACTCCGGGAGCTATTCGGCGAACAGGAAGAAAAGGAATTTCAGCACTTCAGCAGGTGCGCTGGTGAAACCTTCGAACTCCTGTGAAGTCACATATGGCACACGTAGGCCACTCTGGTTAAAGGACTTTCCAGGTCTTCCCAAGGTAGCCTGTACAAGCTCCGCTTAGTACCATTTCTTGCCCTCAAGCCGAGCTGCGCTTAATTACCATGTACAATGAACTTTGACTACTAGAGACCACAGTGAATGGGCTGCACTTGACTTTCAAAGGAAGTTAGGTCGGTTGAAGATTTTGGAAAAAGTATAAACTAGTTCATGGTCGTTATCCCCATTTCGACAATATGTTACGATTTGATAGTTTTAAAGCAGGCAATTTTGCGGAGACGTTAGCTGTATAGAAAGTTTAATCAATCTCGGACCGATCGAGGAACGCTTCTGGCTTTTTTTCTTGTCCTCATCCCCGCCACCTCCCGCTTACTGGTAGAAGATTTCAGGATATGGCAGGGGATTAAATGTATATTCGAGCTAAAGGGGGGGGGGGAAGTCAGTGGAAAAACTTCTTATTTTCTTTGGTGGCCTTTTACACAAAATAGAGCTTGAAAGACGGCAGGTTCACCTCAGCGTTACAGTATCTTAAGGAGTGTTTCTCCAAGCCGATTTCTTTTGAGTGTAACCTTTGACAGGTCACGTTTGAACGTATAGTTTTAGGTTCGCCCTTCCGGAGTTGATTTATGGAACAGATAGAAAAGTGATAGAATGACATTTTCGGTACGGTCGCAAGCATACATGCGCTAAGAACTTGATAGCGCGGGTTTCATGTAACGACAACTGTCGCACGTAACCGATCCAAGTCGTGATGGCATAAAAGCGCTGAGAACTTGGGTTTTTGGCCGTTCCCTTCAGAATGGACATCGAGCAACGAATCAAAGCCTATCGCTTCGTTGCCTATGCAGCCGTCACATTTTCAGTAGTTGCCGTTCTCTCCGTCTGTCTCACTCTGCCGATGGTCTACAACTACATAACCCATGTAAAACGTCAGATTAATACCGACATCACGTTCTGTCAAAGGACTGCCAAAGACCTTTGGTCTGAGGTCAATATCCTTGCTGTGCAAGCACCTGCAAACAGAACTGCTCGTGAGGCATACGCCACTGATGATGCGGGAGTCAACGGTGGTCGAACCGGGTACTGGCGGTGGATGTGGCCCAGGATGCTGCCTTCCTGGTCCTCCAGGAGCACCCGGAACTCCCGGTAAACCTGGACGCAATGGAAAACATGGGCGCATGGACTCCCGGGAAATCCTGGCCGCCCACCTCAGACAGCATGCGAGCCCCTCACTCCACCACCCTGCAAACCATGCCCAGCTGGGCCTGCTGGACCACCTGGTCCTCAGGGACCTCCTGGAGATCCAGGAACCGATGGTCAACCTGGTCGACCTGGTAACAGTGCAACTCCTGGTCCACCTGGTCCTAAGGGACCTCCAGGACCCGACGGTAATCCAGGTGCACCGGGAGCTCCTGGAGATCCCGGAAATGACGCTGCTGTTGAGCCAGTCCTTCCTGGAGAGCCTGGACCTGCTGGTCAGCCTGGCCCGCCAGGAGCTCCTGGACCAAATGGCCAGCCTGGAGCTGATGGACAACCAGGTATATATTTAGATCACATTCATAGATTGTTGTGGCTTTCATGTGCGACTAACTTAACTCTTTCCAGGAGACATTGGACCTAAAGGGCCTCCTGGAGCCAACGGACAACCAGGAGCTGATGGGAATCCTGGACCTCCAGGTGATCAGGGACCACCTGGAAATGGTGGCGAAAGAGGAATCTGCCCGAAGTACTGTGCTATCGATGGAGGAGTCTTCTTTGAGGACGGCAGTCGCCGTTAAAAGTCTCATTTCCTGCTCATCAAGTACTTCCCTTCCATACCATAATAAAACCTTAAGCTTACATTCCTTACAATGTCTCCTGGAAAAGAGTATAAAATCAACTCGAACGTGCGTATAAAGTCATTATCACGATGGCCAAGTTTGCTTCAAAAATGTCCCTGAGTGGAGTAAGAAAACCAAATTCCTCTCCAAAAACTTTTGATCAGTTTCACTTTAACACTACGACTTCCCTGATGGTTCCAGTTCAAATTCCTGAAAATAAAATAAGAAGCGTTGGACAGAGTGCTCAAGTCCAGACAGTGGAATAAAAACTTTAGAGAATCTAGTGCGGAACAATCGGCAAACTTCGGGAGTTCACTGCGCGAAAATCTGTAAATTGGCCCATTGTGGAATGCTGAATAGTGGAGAAGACGCTGCGCACCAACTAGGACCGGGAATAGCCTCACATTTCCCGTAGAAGTAAGCTAACCTCCGTTAGACCGGAATCACGTGCTTCTCTTTCAGTTTAAAGCCACACCCGCCTCCGTGGATCCTGGTACTTGCCGTGGGGACTTCGCCTGCGCCGCCGCACTGCCAGCCACAGTCTAAGGCAGCGTTCAGACTTCGCGACGGCGGCGCTTCGGTCGCGCGATCGATCGATCGCGCCCGCGTACGACTGCGTCGATCGCTCGAGCGTACGATCGCGTCGCTAGTGCTAGCGTACGATTGTGTAGCGCGACTGATTCGATCGCGCTCCAATGCAAAAATCGACTGGACGGATGCTAACTCACAGCCATTTGCTTACTTTTTCCTTCTTTCTCCTCCCGTTAGCTTCTCGCTTTTTTCACCTTCCTACCTTTATTTCTTCAATTTGTCCCTAATGCTTGTCGGCTATTGTGCTTGTTCACCTTTAACATATTTAAATTTTCAGATACACTGGTTTTTCGCATAGACGGCCGTGTTGAGTGCGCGCACTTCCTCTATTTCTGTGGGTTTTTCAGGTTTCCTGTAGTTTTGGTTATCTTTTTCATTCTTATTTTTTGCTGAACTGCTGAATTGCCGACCAAACTAAACACAATATGATTGATATGAATGAAAAAGATAACCAAAACTACAGGAAACCTGAAGAACCCACCTAAGAAATATAGAAAGTGCGCGCACTCAACACGGCCGTCCATCCGAAAAATTCCAATGTATCTAAAAACTTCAATATGTTAAAGGAAGCTACACAATCATAATTTTCGACAAACAGCAGGAACAGATTAAAGAAGTAGTGGTAGGAAAAGGAAAAAAACAAGCAAGAAGCTAACGGGATGAGAAAGAAGGAAAAGT